AAAATGTAATTAATTTAGAAAAGCTTTTCAGGACCCCACCTTGATGTTTCAGGACCCCACTTTGGGTCCCGACCCCAACTTTGGGAACCACTGTGTTAGATTATTGATCTTATTGGCCTGGAAATCTTCCTTATTTCAAGAAGTCGTACCAAGTGCAATTGTCTTAATAATTTGAGTCTAAATCTTCTCAAATAAGTGAAATAATCAAATCATCTAAGCTCAAAAATCTAATCATAATTAAGCTAAGTTAAGGCCCTTAAAAAGCTATTTACATCAGGTAAAATAATATTTGTTCAGAACGTTTCCACAAAACCCCGCTCCAAAACAACCAAACCATCACTTTACATAATAAAAACTCAACGGATTTGACGATGCTAGAGAAACCATCAAATGAGAATTAAAATTGAAAACATGTTGAACAATCAGTTAAAACTGTCCAATAATTTAGCCTAAAACAAAGTATTAAAGTGTTAAATTTGTTTAAGATATACGTAATAATTAATACTGTACAATCCTAGGAGGTTTTCAGAAATGATCACGATTAGTATTGATTCACATGTTTCGTCTTCAACAACACAGACTGAAAGGATACGGCCCAGCAGGAAGATGGAGCAGAGGATGCAGAGGGTGAACCTCACAGGGCCCACCCAGGGCCGGTCTACAGAGGGCTCTGCTCGATAAGTTAAATACATCTGGATCCAGAAATAGTGTATGACCAGGGTGAACGCCACACACGCTCCGACCACGTGCAGCTCAAAGGAGACAGATGCCTGAATGATGACAAATGACGTGAGAAGGAGGAGGCTTAGACAGAATTAAATGAGAAAATAATTCCTCTTCTAGTTAAAAGGCCTTTCATAATGAGTTACATTCTGCACAATCTCATGCAGGACTGTGGCATCCACTCGCCTTTTAGGTTTTAAAATATGTTGTTGCTTCTGCCTCCTACCTGGAAGTTGGTGGTGACAGACAGTCCAATAGCAGAGAGGAATCCCAACCAAAAACCAGCAACATTGGCTCGTCCCCGGTAACCAAAGTCTGCTACTTGCTGATATCGGACCGCCATGATAACGATGACTGCAAGAAACAAACAGACAAGGAAGGAAGACAAAGGGTATGTTCCTTTTTAACAGAGCTCTTCAAACGACTAGAAGACAGAGCAGAAAGTAAAATATAGACTAAAACATGATGGCATTTGTAAAATGCCAAAGCCCAGAGCCGCAGTTCTCAAACTGTGGGGCACAGGGGCTTGCCCTGGGTGGGGGTCCATCACTAAATTGTTTTATTAAATTTTGTTCTCAGGGTTTTTTGTTATTGAACAACAAATTATTTAGGGAAAACTGAAAAGTATAGTTAAAATACTGGATTTCCTTTTCATAATCACAAATAAACTTCAATACTTGACACATTATTACAATTTTATTCTGGGCCCTCCCAGTGGGTGGGCGAACAGAAAAAGCTTGAGAGTATTGTGTAGGATGATGAGACTGTGAGATGTTTACTTAAAACGGTGACGATGTTATAGAGCTGGGTGAAGATGCTGCTCTGAGGTGGGTACCCTGCACACTCACTGCAAACAGAACGAAAACACGGAGTCAGACATTCGGTACCTGTTTCTTCATTCTTGAGATTTTTTTTTTTACATTCAAATAAAATAAAATACATTTTTTTAAAAAAARAGCAAGTTCAAAAGTTTCACTCAGGTCGGTTTCATTCTAAAAAATGTTGAGATTTTGTGTATTATGTAAATAAAAACAGAACGCAAAAATTTCCAAACTGCCTAAACCCATATTTTATTCACACATGTTGAACAAATCAAATGTTTTAACACCATGTGAACAAGTGAAGGCCGCTGTATTTGAATTGAAGATGATTTAACAGGAATAAGGCAAGTAAAAAAAACTGTTCTGTAGAAAGAATCCATCCATTATATTACCGGCTTCCTTTTAGGGTCAGCGGGGTCACTGGAGTCTATGTCCAGCAGTCACTGTGCGAGAGGCAGGGTACACCCTGGACACGCTGCAAGTCCATCACAGGGCCGGTCAAAATAATCAAAAAATTGTAATGCCTTATGGAAACGGTGGACTTCCATACTAAAGAGGAGAGGGACCATCTGGCCTTTTATCAGTATGAGTTCAAAATGTATCCCTTTTTCAGGGAAGGCCTTGCATATTTCAGCAAGACAATGCTAAACTGCATATTACAGTCCTAATGCCTCCCGATAACTCAGAACATTTGGTGCATCATGAGGCAAAACCAAATCAGTTAACAGTTGGAACCCTACATCAAATAGAAATTAGACATTTCCCTCCAAAACCTCCAGCAGCTGGTCTCCTCACTTCCCATTTCTGTCACTCTGATGAAAAATCATTGTATCTCATAATAAGAGTTAAATGATCATATTTATAATTTTGTGTCCCATTATTATGACTAGGCTTGAATTAACTTCCTGGCATTAGAAGTGATGGGTGAGACAAGTTTGGTTTCACAGAGAGAAATGGATGTTTCTAAAATCATTGAACAATACTACAGAGGTGGTTTTACAAATCTTGAAATCTTGCGAGTTTTGGAAGAATCCCATATTTTCAATTTAAGCCTTCAGAAATTAAAGAGAATGCTGCAAAAGAAGCAGCTTTGACAGTGACTAAAGGATATGGATGACGCAGAAATGGCATCTTTCATTGAGCAACAACTAGGATCAGGTAGACAGCATGGCTACAGGTGGACCCAGCAGAAACATTGAATGGCTGGGAAACATGTGCCTGGTGGATGTCATAATAATGGGATAATGTTTCTTTAATATGGCTTAGATATTTCATAATTATGAGTTACAAGATGTTGGGGGGTGGGGGTTATCAGAGAGGTGGAATTGGGCTTCCACAGTTCTTCAACGTTTACAGTCTTGTTAAAAAAAGAGGGTCTGCTTCTCAGTGGGAAACATCTTCCTGTCCCAAGTAGTTTGAGATCTGTTACTTCCATAGGATTCAAAATTACATTATTTGAAAGGACATTTTCTTAGTTTAATCATTCATTGTGCTTTCCATGCTCCGTTGTGAATTAAATACAGGTTTATGAATTTTCAAATGGTTGCTTTTCGTTTTTGTTTATRTTTTACACAACATCCCAACATTTTTAGCATTAAGGTTGTATTTCATCTGCTTCCATCAGCCTCTGTCGTCATTTGGAACAACAAGGATTTAAACCAACCTGATGTACGGAACTCCTTTTGTTAAGTTGACCGATCCGTTTGCCACAGATACAGCAAATCTGAGGGGTGGAGCATATAATATAGAATAGAATAAAATGAATAAACAGCTTATATATGGATCCGTTGAGTGAACTGTCTGAAATATAATCTTATATAAAGAGCTGGGAAATCTCAATATTCAAATACCATTTGAGGTTGCTTCTTTTAATTACATCAAAATTTCCTCATTAGAATAACCTTAAAATAGGATTTAAATCAAATACTAATGTGTTATCCTGATTACGAAGACAAATCAAGCCAYATCTCTGACATCAGGATGATCCAGGTATCAAAATGTAGTTTTAAAATCTGGAATGGAAAAATGTGCTTTGGTCGTTCTGACCAAAATTGACTTAATCTTCAGTTTAATGTGATGGGTTACAAATACCCAGAAAAAAAAACTTTTAATTTGTTATTGGTAACAAGTAGTAAGCTTAAAGGAAAACAAATCACCTTTCAAGTCAGCGTTTTAGACTAAAATAATTTACTGTTGAGTGATGTGTTTTAGTCACTTTGGACAGAAACTTTATGCACAACCTCAGAATATGTGTTGTCAATGACTCTCAGCTACTACCATATCACATTTTAGCTCAATATAAAAATTATAGTCATTTTTGTGATTGCTAAGGTCCATCAGACCATCTTGAATTTGATTTATTCCAAGTCCTTAACAGTTGTAGACGTACACTGAATGATCATTTTATGAGAGTTTGAATGTAGCAGTCATTTGGTAGCACACAGAAATAAAAACAATAAACTTTGATTATAGATAGATAGATAGATAGATAGATAGATAGATAGATAGATAGATAGATAGATAGATAGATAGATAGATAGA